TCTTTCTATATAAAAGAAACATAATAATTATTTTGTAAATGTTTCTGTTTTTTTGAAGTACTGTATTAGGCATAATAAGAAAATGGGTAACACCACCTACTATAACAATATTTACGTAATTACCTATGTGTTTAAATAAATAAAAATATTATTTTGGTACGCCTCTGCAGAGTTGGTAAGAGGATTATCCGTTGGTCACCTCAAGTGCGACGTTGCTAATGAATCACCTTCAATTGAAAATTGTTATAGTATAGTAGAAGATAGATTTGCGAATAAATCACTCAGAGATGATTGAAGATTTGATCAAATATTCATGAAGATGTATTATTATGGCTTCTCTGAGGGATTAGTTTATCAAGCTAGATTAAACGGTCAACTTGACATGTGTTTCTACCGTATTAATTCTACGTGCAGTATTTTATTGTATTTTCATATACTTCATTATGTGGATTCAATTCACAAAAGTAATAATTAATTTTGAACTCACGATGAATTCCGATTGAACTTGATATTGAGTCTCAATTGTAGTTTACTCTGTTAGATCTTAGTCCAAGATAGATCGAATCAGTTCACGACTAGGTAGAGATAGATAGTTGATTTAACCACGTTATGTAAAAAAAAATACATTTGTAGCTATACAAACACAAGAACAACAAAAATTTCAAATAGATTACAAGTAAAATAAAAAAAAACACAACTATCACCAGTGGTGACGCAAATGTATATGAGATGTAAATAATATGGTTAATTAAATTTAAAAAATAACATGGTAATCAAAGGCCACAATTAAAGTGATTCAGATTCAAACATGTGAGTTGGTGTGGCCAGGTACTTGTTGACACTATAAAAACAATTTATTAAGAAATTTTTGGTAAACCTTTCGAAACTACATATAGGTATAGTGGCAATATATTATAAATATTAACATTGAGTGTATTGATCGAGGATTTGTTTAGTTTCAGCCTGCGTGGTCTTAAGAGATTAGCAACTCTACGTTCATGAACCTGTGGATTTTATTCGATGTGGTATGACCATAATTCAAAGTATCGTCTAGGGCAGTGTTTCCCAAAGTGTGCGCCGCGGCGCCCTGGAATCTTCACTGGGGCGCCGTGGGCCACGTGTGAGTCTCAAGGTACAACGTTTTACAACAAAGATAACTGAGACTAAAGGTAATACGTCGTCACCTATTAATAAAAATCCTCTGATAATATGATAATATCGGTAATTGCAAAATGCAATCCGTTCAGACAGCCACCTACCTACTTTTATTAATTAATCTAGTGTAGTCTTTACGTTCGGGGCGCCACGATAACCTTCAAAGAACATAAGGGAGCCATGAATTGAGAAACACTGGTCTAGGGTGATGCCTAGTAGTTTGACAGTTTCATCTTTTGCTATGTTATTATTTGTAGAGAATGTGATAGTTTGACTTTTATCTTCATTCAGTTTCGAAAGGTTATTGAACCGTGAATATATTGTCATTCTCTATTTATTGTGAATATTCAGGTTACACGTTTTGCGGAAGCGGAATCAGATAAAGGAACTGGCTGAAAACATTACACCAACGAATGATGAATTTTGTGTCATTACTTTGTTACATAAAACCCTCGTTGGATAATCGGTATCATTAGATTTTTGTATATTGAACACCCTTCTATATGATTCTAACAAATTATTAAGAATAATTTAAATCAACTCACGCTCGCCATGAACAACACTAAAGAAATCTCTGTGACTGTCATATTTGAGATATTACAACTGAAATTTGAATCGAGACGCACCATTTATATAACCAATATTTCATTCAAATGAAAATAGCTATTTGTTGATCCAATTATCGATGCAATATAATTTATAAAAATCCATTGTTAACAATATTTATGTTAATATCTGTTCGTTCAATCGTATTCATGGCTTTGACAGACAATAACCTTTTCATTGATGAGTTCGAGTCCTGGGAATTGATCCGTAAATCCTCCGTTTCAAAATTGAAAAACTACAAACAGGAAATTATTTTAGTTATTCAATACTATCTCTGGTTGAAACGTCAAAACGATTTTCCTGTTGATCAATTCAAATACCATGTACGTATTACTTTCTGAGATGATGCTTGGATTCTGTATTTATTGTTCCAAAGAACAATATTTATTGAGTGATAATAAATCAATAGTATTAGTACACTGAGCCGTTATTTGATGAAAATTAATAACTCTATTCAAGAAAATGAAGCTTAGGCGCCGCCAGGATCAGTTTCAGGGAGGTACATCTGCATCTACACATACTATTAATCAATATACTCGTTAAATATAGAACTATGAATGATGATCTACGTTTGAAATTACTAAGACATCCTTGGAACCCTAGCAATAAATACAATTCCAAAAATGATGTGAACCTTGATGCTAAACAAGCTTTCCGACATGAATGGCTTACAACATATCGGTGGGTAGCTTATTCAGCTTAAGGAAAAGGGCCGCTGTGTAGGATATGTGTTTTATTTCGGCCTCCAGTGCAGCGTGGTCTATAAGGACAGTTCATAGTTTTTCTCCCTGCTTCAAATATCGAAAGTTTTATGACGCTGATCAGTCTCACGCGACAGGTAAGTTGCATTGTGCCGCACTGGCTTGCGTCACAATGCCACTTATGAAAAAATTGTAGATGGAAAAGTACTTATCGTTCATTAATCTTCAAATACGGCATCATATCACAAAGAAGTTGAAGAAAATCTTTAATCTATCATTTCAAAAATTTCATTTTAGGGGCGGCATGATCTTCCTCTTTGTGGAAAAATCGCCAAGGGTTCTGTTTTCACAGACCTGCTACATTTTCGAGTTGACTCGGCAGACGAGATTCTGAAAAATCATTTACCCCTCCACAAAAAAAGTAACAAAGAGATTGTCGGTAAATACAGACCTATTTCTATTATAAGTATCTTTTCAAAAATCATTGAAAAATTAATTAAGAAAAGACTCGCCAAATATTTCGAAATCAACAATTCTTTTGCAGTTATCAATTTGGTTTTCCCGAAAACTGCTCTACCACCGATGCTACTATGAGTGTTGTCAGAGGCATAGTTGAGG